CACTATTTAAGCACTTCTGTTCACTGAAATGATTGGTGAAAAGCTGTGCCAGCTCAAGGATCTCTGTACCATTTCTGGATCTGGAATTAGTCTGTGCAGAGTGAATTCAGGTATTTGACCTTGAGCAACCTGATCTAACTTTGAAACTGGAGCTGGCCTTAAGCAGGGGTTTGGACCAGGTGACTCCAGAGTTTTCTGTCCACCCAGATTGTACTATGAACTCTTCTTTCTGATGTTCTAGCTGTGGGACTGGCCTGTGCAAGGCTGGTTGAAGTGTCTGTGTGCATGTGATCTACATAAGCTCGAAAAAAAAGAAAAAAAAAAAAACCAACAAAATCATTTAAAACTGTTATTTTTGCTGCTTTTAGTCTTCAGGAGTCTTTTCCGTCCTAGATTGTAATGACTAAATATCATAACCTTCTGGTTGCTTTTCTTTATCTGAGTAAAAGGAATACATTTCTTAGCAGACAGGAGTGTTTTAGAGTCTTATCCCAGGAACTTTTCACAAACTTTCAATGAAAAGGGCCAGGAGAGCAGGCTCATCCTTCCCAGCATGGACAATTCAAGGTGCAGTGACAGGAGCGCTGAGGAGGAGGCCTCTGTCCCTGTCTCTGCCCTGACTCCAGAGGAGCCTTCACTTTCCGCTGCAGTCAGGAAGCCAGCTACCTTATAGCACAGTAATCAGTCTTCACAACAGACCTTTGGAAAATGAATTATCCTCTTAAATGTACCTGAGCAGTAAACCTGAGAGGTGAGCACTGATACACATACACGGCGATCAGAATATCTGATATCAGTTTTGGTTTATTCCTTGTTTCTGATGCTTTCTCCGAGAAGGGATAAATTGCCCCCACGTTGCCCGAACATTGCCCCCAAATATTTTATTGTTAGTTTATGTTCCTTAACTGTATATTGTTCTGTAATTGACTCTTCTGTAAGAATAGATTCCCTGTTCAGTAGTACGTCTTCATTTCACAATACCATCACCATTCTTTTGGGTTACTCCATTTATTTTTGGAATAACAGTCTTCTACAGATGAGCGGTTAGTACGTGGGATTACTATAATTATTTTAATTGCTAAAAAACTTGTTTTCCTAGGAAGAACTGAATTAGCACCTTAAATATTAAAATATTTTTATCATAGTTGTAGTTTAGCAAAATAGCACTTTTATTATTTATACTAAAAAGTTAAAAAATATATKATTTGTGATTGACCTTTTGCACAGCTCTTAGGAAGTCACATTACCTTCTAGGGTCTCTGTTTCCTGGGATTCAAAAAGAGGGGCATGATTGTTTTTCCAAGTGAAGTTTTAAGGATTTGTGTATAAAAAATCATTATATAGGAGCTCTTTATTATTAACTAGTAATGGCCTCAAAATTTTCTGTTCAGGCAGCAAGCTGAAGTTCCTATGCACTCAAAAGTTCCATCAAAAAACAATGGTCTTTGAGTTACAATCATTACTATTTATCATTACATTTCATTACTAAAAACATTGCTTAAGCTACAGGCACAGGCCTTGCCTCACAGTCTCTTCAGAAATCTCTTAGTATTACTGTTTTCTCCAAGACAAAGCATTCCTGAAATATTTAACATATGCTGAAGTTCTGACAATCCTCCAATAGCAGGTGCGTGTTTTAATTTTTGTTTAATTTTCGAAGAACCTTCGAAATAACCACCATGACAAGCAGGCTTGGCTTTCATGTCTGTGCTTTGCAGGGAGATACTATGACATATTTGAGGGATTAAAAGCTCTCTGTTCAAAACCTGGTGCTCCTTGAAGTGAAATCTGATAAACTGGAAGAAYGTCCAGGATGCTTTGGGATGCTAACAAACACCAAAGATAAGAATAGATCTGACTGAGCTTTAACGGTTGATTTACCTTTCTCCTCCCATCCAGGAGTTAAAAACCACCCTATTTGTCAAACTCTTAACACTTGGAGAGAATTCTGGCTTGTCCTTCTTTAGTGAACTACAGTTTTAATTTGTAATACTAACACATTGAAATTTTAAAATGAAATGGTATACAGAAAAAAAAATGGAATTTCCTTAACACCCCAGATCATGAGTAGAAACAGCATGTCTAGACTCAGATACAAACCATATTTCAGATGCATTTGCTCCGTCAATTTCAGAAATTTTGGCTCCGAAATTTTGGTTTCCCTGCCAAAGCCGAGTTCCGCCCCGGAGGGTGAGCGCGGGGTTTCCTCGGCTGCAGCCGTTGACAGCGGCTCCGGCAGCGGCTCCGGCAGCCCTCGCGGCAGGGCAGGGAGGGCCGTCCTCGCCCTGCTCTGCGCCTGATTTCATCACCTCAGGCAGGTCTCGACAGGGCAAGGCCTCTTGCTTCACTTCTAGGCATCGCGGAAACCTTGGGCGCGTAATTTAGGAGACTGGGAACTAGCTTCTTGATCCAGAAAGGCAGAATGAGATATTTTTGTGATTCTAATCTTTAAATGTCTTAGCACTGCATCAGTTCATTTCTTCCAAACACAATAATAACATTTGCTCTGAAAAGAGTTCTTGGTGCATGCTGAATTCGCCAGACGTTTCACTTTGGGACGAGGATATGACAAATGTGCTTCCTTGCATTTTTATGTTGATATATTCTCCCTCACAAAGGACAACCTCAGAAAGCGCTTGAATCAGATCCACATTCACGCTTTACATATGCAGCATTTTTGTGGCTGACAAAGTTGGCTCCTCGTGCAAACTAACTTGGAAATGAAGTCAAATCAAAGGAGAGCATGCTGAGACCGCTATACTTCGGGAACTATTTTCTTCCAACTAATCATCATTATTATGACTAGATATTTACCCTTAGGTGTGCTGAGCGGATCCATCTGACTCATCCATTTAGTGCTGACATTCAGTACTAGGCTGGATGTTGTCCTGCTGGGTTAATCATTATCTTTTCTGTCTGAAAGGTTTGGTAATTCCTACAACCGCATAGGATCGCTATTTTGGGACTTACCGGGTGACTTCAGAGCTGACATAACCTTTCTGGTATTGTCCATCGTAACCTCTGTCATGACATTAGCGTGAATTATGGCTCTTTTGAGGATATAAACCCTCATATACCACAGATGGTCGGCGGGAAAAAAACTGCAATGAAGATCTGTACATCTCACATGCAACCCTTCTTTGCAAATTATTTCCATTACTATTGCCTTTTCTTAGGTACCTTTTAATCAACTATCTAAGGTATCATTTATTGCAGAGACTATGCATTATAATAAAGACTGTAGTGTGAGAGGTTGGAAAATACACTCTGCCACCAACATTGTCATCATGTCCTGCCGGCCTTTGGCAGACTTGCTTAGTTCTCCATTATGCAGTTTATCACCATTGCTTCCTTAGAGTCSAGTTTTTAACCACTTCTCTGAAAGAATGATGAAAGCTGTGTAAGCTCATTTACAGAGCATGTGTGTAGGCTTAAAATTACAGATAATGGCAAATGGTTGGAAAGTCAGAAATTCCTTTACATATTTGCCAAGACCTAGGTCAAGGTTCAGGGTTTCCTTTGCTCAAACTAGTGAAATTAGAAATACCCCCAGGTGTTTTGGGGAGTGCTGGCAGTGCACGTGCAACACAGTTGTATCAGGTGTTTTCTGCAAGAGCAAATCAKGCTTAAGCAATACTGCACTCAATTTTAATGTGCTTTCCTTCCCGCATAATGTATTTTGTATAAATTAATTGTATTTTATTTAACAGCTTTCAGTGTTTTCTACAGGCTGCCATAATCCATTTTATCAAACATTACAGTCATTTCAATTGTAGTAAATTTTGATATCATAACTTTGATTCTCATGACAGTGAAATAAATAGTTAATATACAGGAAAGTGTTTGTGTGTTTAAAAGTAATCATCATAAAAATGAAATGCCTTTCTACTGAGAAGCCTTGTTCTTAAACTTTCTTATCTGTATTTGTGTAAACATTTTACAAAAGGAAAAGAGACAAATGTTTATAGTGATTTTGAAAAACAGGGATACAGATAATTAACTTGGTGTACGAGCAGCTATTTCAGAGGAATATTCAGCAAAAGGATGATTTTTACTGCAGAGTTTATCAGCTCTTCCTTCATGAGCATTGCTCTTCATTTTTTACTGGTAAAGAGGGTTTGGATCCAGGAAAGGATGTAAGGGCTATAGAGATTTTAGATCTGCACCCTGTAGGTATACTGAATTGAAACAAAATGGAATATATTTTCTGCCTCTAAATCACTTGGCATTATTTTAGGCTGTTATTTCCTACTAGTATTTTTTGTCGTCATACTTATTTACAGTGGGACTTTTTTTAATTATGCCGTGTGTACGTGAATATATGTGGCCTTTTCTAGTCCATGTTAGAGAAAGTACTAAGCTGTAAACGTTACTGCATCTTAGAGCTGGAAGAGTCTGTCCTTTTGACACTGACTTAATGTATACATTTTTCAGGGAGCAGGAATTGAACAGGTGCCATGTAGTACAGCAAAAGTCTCCTTTGGGTCAAATGACATCCCCTCTATCGAAAATAGCACAAGCCTGTGAATATGATGTTTAACATGGAACAATCCCAAAACAATATGTATTGCGGATCTCAAATCMTAACAAGGCTAGCTTAAGTCACATTTTGTAGATAAGCATTTAGGCATCTGGCAGTAGAATTTTGTCCTAAATAAGCAATGTTATGAACTGAAGTAGTAATGATCTTGAGAGATTAATCATCTAAGAGAGTCCATCTATATATTACAGTAAAATGTGGGTTTTTTGGGGGGGGATTTTCACTTAGATATTAAAGTAAGCAGTACATAAATACACTTTAAAAGAATATCAAATGTGAGCAGCAGCCTTAAAATGATTTTGAAAAGGTCCTGTTTTGAAATACAGCTGTTTTCTATAACAGAGCAAAATTTCCAAAAGAGTCACAGTGACTGGCCAGCAATTCAAATTCCCTATATCATTATTTCAAAACATTTAAGAACAAACGTTAATGTAACTTTTGTCTTTTGTTTTCTGAACAGTTAATTCAGGCGATGGGATAGACTACAGCCAGCAAAAGCGTGAAAATATTGGAGATCTGATTCAGGAGACACTGGAAGCCTTCGAGCGCTACGGTGGAGAGACTGCTTATATAAACATTAAGTACATGATCCCGACTTATCAGTCGTGCATATTAAACTAAGTTGTGTCAAAAGGGATGATTCCATTTGTGCTCTAAAAAAAACGATATCTAACTCTGTGTGGCATCTTGTTAGTCATGCTTTTTTTCTCTACAGCTGCTAAAATAGTGGCTTCTGGGGCTTTAGACTGTTAGCACTATTGTGAACAAGTCTTTCCAATACATAAATAGTGCCTGTTCCTTTGATTACAATGGTGTACTGTGCTTGTTTGTTCCAAGAAAGAATTGCTTCTTTGTAACAGAACTGACTGGAGCAGGAATCAGAGTTAAACCTTCAGTTGTATAGACAATAAAACTATAATTTTCATACGCAATTCAGCAATTGCTGTTCCGTGTCCGCTTGCCCTGAGGGTGATGTCAGAGGCTGTAACAAGAAGAGTTTATGCTGACTGCTTAATAGGTGTTTGTCATGGAAGAGAAACACCAGTTCAGCAATGCCTCCCTAGCAGCTGTGCAAAATAATGTGCCTGACACACAATAAAACTGTTCAATGTATATACCTGTTACAGCGGGAAATTCTATACTGCCCATTAGAAAGCTCTGTCACAAAATTATTATTTCTTTCACATTCATGATTGAGGCTTACAGGTGCTTGCCTTCCTGTAAAACCTGGGTTCGTATTTGTTCCGATCAGGCACAAGTGTAGTTTCAAATGAAACAAAACAAAAATAAAAAGCAAAACTTGAATATATCTGATGGAATATGCAGCATACATAATATATCACTCCCTAATGGCACTCCTCATCATGCTAAACGCCATACATAAGCATATATATGTAGAAGACACTGGGTGGCAAAGCTAAAGTCATTATTGTTAGAGGAAACCCTTAGAGTTAGTTTCTCCCTGCCTACACATAACAGAGAACTGATACAGCTATACATTTAATGAGACTATCGAGACTGGCTCTAAAATATACCTCTGGAAAAAAAAACAAGTTTATAATTGTCAGGGACAACCATTTAAAAAAWTTGAGTAAGCAAATCAGGAGATATGAGATTTTAAAAAAAAAAAAAAAAAGATTAAAAAAAATACAGACTTTAAACTCACTTTGTTTTTATTCTGGTTGCTGGGAGCTCTTAAAATACACAGACATTGTACTTGCAAGCGTTTCCCTGTAGCTGTTAAGGCTTTTTTGTGTTAGGAGCATGAGACTTTTTCTAAATGCTTGTCCATGTCCATGTTCACCCAGTGATAGAAGTGCCAATGTGGGAGACGTGTCCTTTATCCTGCTTTGTTCTCTTGGTGAGTAAAGGAATGGTGAGGTGCACCTTACTTCCCATTGAGCCAAATGTGTCATTAGGCTGACATTTGCTTTGCCTTATCCTGTCCTATGAGATCTTCGACCTGAAGATTTACTTTATTTTTTTATTTTATTTTATTTTATTTTATTTTATTTTATTTTATTTTATTTTATTTTATTTTATTTTATTTTATTTTATTTTATTTTATTTTATTTTATTCTCTTTCCTGGAACTGAAGAAAAATTTGGGGGCAAGATTTGTTTTCTTCCTGCCTCTTTGAGGAACTGCTACCTCATGTGCTGCCCCTGGCCATGAGAGCTCACCAGTCCCTGGTTTAGGCACGGCTGCTGCAGGTCTGTCTTTCTACCAGGCTCTGGAGAGCTTTTTTGTCATTGTTATTTCTTATTTCTCTTTTGCACATTGCTGAGGCTTCTCTCTCAAGTCCCTAGAGTTTAGGCAGTGTCTGTCCTGTGACTGACAGATGCCTGTGATGGATGAGCACATCAAATACACTGCCTCACTTTTAGGCTATCTGTAAATCTTTCACCTCCCAAGCAGAAAGGAATGTGGAGCCTGTCTGTGGGCATATTTCTTGGGCAACGCTAGAGCTTTGTCTTCAAAACTTGCAGCACAGAGTCTAGAAGGATGTCACAGCAGGGCTACAACCACATTTTGTCTTCTGAAACACCTTTTGAACTCTTTTGAATCTCTTTCTAAATAGAGCATTTATAGATCACAAATGTAGGAGCTACTCCAGGGAATCCTAGCTCAGAAATGGGTCCTAGCTTAGAAATGTCTGCTCAAGTACGGCCAGCAAAGGTAATAAACATAAGAGCTAGAGGGGCTCTAACTTCCTCCCTCTGAGGAGGGTCTCTTCAAGCCCTGGMACTTTGCTGACAGTTGCTCCCTCTGTTCCACCTCAGTCTTTGTCCCCTACACTGATGAGCCATATTCTTTTAATAGCACCTACGGATTATTCTTCTGAAATTGCACACCAAGTACAAACTGTGCTGGAGAGCTCAGTTGTTCCACTCTGAAACAAATCATATAATGAACAAATAATAATCATTTCAGGCCACTTTTCCTTTCTCGGCTATTCTCCTTTGAGAGAAGCTCAGTACCGCTCATAAGCCTGAGGTCAAGAAGCTCCTCAATCGCTGGCTTCAGTTCCACTGCCCTTGAGGCTCTGGCTGCAGAGCTGCCCACAGAAGGGACAGCAAAGGGCTCTCCTCCAGAGAGCTCCCCATCCCACTATCCTTCTGCATCCCAGCAGCACTGCTCAGGATGTGGTTATGTTGCAGACTCCTCCCCAACTTTCTGAGCCTGTTCCCTGGCCCTCTCTACATCCACTCCCCATTTGGTCAACCAGGACAAGAATAGTGACTGACAGATGCTAGATGTCATGGAAAAGGGTACGTGGCACAGCTCAAGTCCTGCCCACACCCCATCCTCTCAGCACCACTCTTTTTTTATGGAGACTCCTATGTAGTATTTTGCTTCAACGAGGGTTGATCTTACTACAAACTGTAAGGGTAGAAGCTATCTCCATTCATATTAGGAAAAAGGTGCTTTACAGCTAAGTTCTTTTACTGGCATGTTCAAGTAGCCTGCATCATACTATTTCTATGACAGGACCTTTGTTTTAAAAATGAATGTTCTCCAGTAGCCTTTTTTATCCTAGAAGTTGGAATAATAGAAAGAAGCAAAAACACGGGTTGGCAATTTAGGAACAGCAAAAATAAGGCCATTTTAGGCTATCGTTTCACTACATCAAGCTGTTGTCCTGCCAGGCCTGACAATGTCCCTTTAAGCAGGATCAGCAGCATATTTATAGGCAATTAYGGCATTGCTCAGAGCACTTTGTAAAAGCACAAGACCAAGGACCCAGGTGCTTAAAGCATATGAGTTATATGATGTCATTCAATACACTGCCTAGCTATTTTACCATGATCAAAAATGGAATTCTAGTTTCAAAATAGTAACTGTCTCTCTTCTCAAGCTGATGTTATTGTGGTCACCAATATTACAGGTGGCCAATCAACAGTTTCTAATTATAATCAATTAAAAGGCCTTCTGGCTCAGATTTTTCAAATAGTATAAAWTAAGCAGAGCTTCATTAAAAGCAGCCTGGTTGTGCCCAAATGAAGTGGCTAAGATTTTTGCCTTCTGGTGCTCTCTGGATGTTCAGGTACCACAAAGTAATGGGCCCTGTGGGTGCTGAAGAAGTGAAGTGCTGGTTTTCTGAAAAAAAAAAAATGCATGGAATGTCTCCAGGTTTTTTTGATGAACGTTAGCTACTTCAGATCAATTGGTGTTCATTTAATTACAGCATAAAAACTGCATGCTTATATACAAACAAACAAAAACCTGCGACCTTGTATGTCTTGTATAATCCTCAAATTGAAGAGGGAAAAAAGAACTTCTGTTCTTTAATGMCTCTTTTGCAAAGCTGAGTAAGAAAATTTCTTTCCTGGGTATTGTGTCTTGGGAAGCCCTCTGACATTGAGGTTGCTGTTGGAACACCTATGGTAGTCAGTATACAGACTGAGTTGCTGAATGGTATGATCCGCCTGCATGAAACCACCAGTGTGATGAGAGGAGGCTCCTGTTCCCTGTGATGGAGGAGGCTCTGTTCCTGCCGGAGCGGGAGACTGGCACCCGCTCCTTGCTCGGCACAGACACGGCCTGGCAGAGGCCTGGGCCGCTGCCGCCGCTGCCAGGCCTGGCCGCAGGGAGCTGGAGCCAGGCTGCTCGCTGGTAACTTTCCAGGGCTTCAAAGAGATGGAGCTGACAAAAGGAGCCTGAAAAGGGCCTGCCAGGAGCAAAACACAAAAGGTCTATGGGAAGCTTTAAGCAGGAGGGAAGGTAATGGACCTGGCTGGAGAGGGGGCAGGGGTGTCCATGGGTGCGTGAGGCAGAGCTGCAGTCAAGCAGTGCAGCGCAGGCTAAGCCAGACACTGTGCCTCATCCTAATCCCGTCTGGGGACCCTCAGAAAAGCGTCCCCTCGTCTGAGGGGTTCTGTAGGCACTGGGGCATTTTTCCACTGATCTGTAACATCCTGTGTTTTCTGCTCTGAAAGGAAGCAGTGATGTTTGCAGGAACTCTGCACAAAGCCTCGCAACTGCTTGGAGCCGCTCTCTGCCTCCTGGAGACCGGCAGAGGAAGGTTGGTGCCCTGGCAGGACAAGACGTTCCCTGCGCCGGCCCCATAATCCTTCCGGCGCGCGAGGGGAGGGAAGGCGAGCGCGGGGACAGATCTTAGCCCCACTCGCTCTTGCCCAGCAAGCGTAGCGGGTACATCTGTGCAATTCCTGGCTGGCAGCACCTGATGTGGCACCCRAGCTGTGGGGCGGGTGTCCTGAGTCAGGGGACAGTGTGAGAGGAAGGTCCCTGAAAAGCTGGTATTTACCACATAGCTCCACAAGTCCCTATTTATTCATTCTTTTCATTACAAACACCCAGGGGTGTCTGTATATGATAGAAGTGCCCACTGTGATGTGGGGAAGCCAGTGCCRCAGGGCTTGGAAGCGCCACACGGGGCCGGCACGGCCGGGGTTGGCATCGCGCTGCTCCACTCGCGCTTCCCCATGGGAAGCAGAAGTGTCTGATCCGGCTGGGCCCAAGCCATGGTACTTGCCGGCCTCACGCGACTGCGGTTCCTTTTCCTCACACAGAGTGAGGGGAAAACGGAGGGATCTGCTCAGATTTTGAATTATTTTGTTGCCAGAATCCCTCAGAGGGGTGAAAAGCCTCTAGTCACTGGAGTATGGGCACTTTAGTGACAAGGAAGCATGTGGTGCCTGGAGGACTTGGAGAAATGGAAATGGCAGCTAATCCTGTTGCCTTGTCAGTACTGGAAGAAAGGTGAAATCCCAGCTGTATTTCTGTATCCTAGTGGAGGGAGGTTAAATATGCTGAGATCAAAGGACTGGGTGTTGCAGCCCTATCTCAAGCAATATAACAATGATGGACCTTTAGTTTAAGGCATATAGGCAAGCAAAACTTCCTGTGCTGATCTGCATGTCTGTTTTTTTTTG